GTTCTAAAGCCTCGGGTCACCTCCGGTATCAAGTGTGGTTACGAGAAGTCACAGTGACAAACAGTAAAGTTATATAGTTACTATATGAATGTCTTTATTCAGACAAGATTTCCTTAAACATCAAATAAATTTCACCAACTGTTTACGTGCAATCCCTTGATGCAAACTATTAACTGTAGATGTCGTTCTGATCAGATAATGTCAGGGCTGTCATGTCTTATAATTCATTTTCTGTTGCTGTTTACTGTCAGGAGTGTTGACCTGCATGCAAGACAACTGCTTTTGACCGCTGCAGAAACAAATCTTAGAACCAGATGGCCAATTCTCTGCAGGCTTCTGGTAAGTCTCTTCCCTTGATGGGATTTATGAGMGGCTTTGCATATTCTTCACTTATCACTGTCACTTTAGATATCAAATCATCACATGAGCATCAAGAAGAAACAGAAACAAATTCTTTAGTAATTTTCCCACAGGAGATGGGAGATGTTTATTTGGATCATTAAACTGGACAAAATACAGTACCGCCGCTGCAATATGCTAGTGCTCTCTACCTGCGTGGTTGTGTTCAGGGTTGCTGGGAGCTGAGGCGTGAAGCAGGGTTTACACTCGACAGGTTGTCAGCCCACCAAGGACCACAGAGACCACCATTTATATTCACTCTTAAAGCCAGTTTGGACTGTGGGAGGAAATTGGACTACAAATGAGAAACACACACATGCATAGGGAAAAAAACACTTAAACCTCTACAGTAAGATCCCAGGACTTTCATGCTACAGAGCAACAGCGCTAACGCTATCAGACATTTATTGTACTTAAGTATCAAAAGTAATATTCTGATAAAAAAACAAAAAATGCATGGGGTGCCAAATTTAAAATGAAATGTTAAAAARYATCACTAACATTTTTYCTYATTTAGCTCACTGTTTGAGTGTTAAAATTTTTCCAACATTTTATTGTTATTTAGCTCACTGTTCTTAGATTTAGCTAATTTTACTAAATGTTCAATTTAAATGTTAAAGAAAATACATTTAGATATTAAATCCTAAATCTAAAAGTTTAAAATCAAAATGTAAAAGTTAAACCTTAAATTTTGAAGTTAAATGTTGAAGTTCATATTTCGTTTTTTTGGAATGGAATGCAGCCTTTGCTGTTGGTGCTCGGCTCATGTTATGATGTCATCATCCTGAGACAATAGAAACCACTAGCTCCAGTGCAGCTAAAGCTTCACTACAAGACATCAAACTTGCTGTTCAGGCTGGTGTCTGAGCTGCACTTCAAMCTGATGGACCACAGGGACCACTCAGATTGTTTTTTTATGAACATATTTTGAATTTAAATTTTAAATATCATCTTCAGCATCATTAGCAGCAGCATGATGATGACATCATCCTGGCGCTAACTTCTGCTAGAGCTTAAAAACGAAATAGAAGTAAAAAGTCTAATGAAAAATTAATAATATTACTCAAAGTACAGATAACCAAAAATTTTACTTAAGTACAGTMATGTATTTGTAGCTATTTTGTTTTCAACTTGGTCTGACTTTATCATGATTTTATTGGTCTGTACTGCAGTAGAACAGAACAGTGATTTTACAAAACATGGCCACATGATTTACTATTTGTTTTGTTAGTTGTTTTTGCCATTTTGACTCATAAAAACATCTTCAACAGTCACAGACATCCAACTTTAACTAACATCACAACCATGAAGGTCTCAACCTTTAGGAAACATGTAAAATATTTGAACTTCACTTAAAATCACAGAAAACTTCATTTCTTAAACTTCAAAACGCACTTAGATAAAGAAGTAAAATCACTCCCTTCAACCTCCATTAGCACTTAAATTATTTTCGACACTCTGGTCATCTCCACAGACCCCCAACATGGCTTTGAAGTAACCAAATACCCAGAATACCAACAAAAACTGTTAACAACAAATAACAACAGCTAAAAGAAAAGGTTCAGGGCGAAAAAGTTGATGGATTTATGTCCTGATTTTTATTGTTTTGTTTTGTCAACATAGTTTGCTTTTTTTAGATATTGTGTCAACTGGATAAAGCCCCAAACTAATGAGCTGGTAGCAGCTTTCCAGCCACCCATCATAGCAGAATCTGACATACTTCGATCAGTAAATCAATTCTTCTCTCCTGCTTGAATGCTGGGAAAAGACCAATTAAATGGCCTAGCCATCTGAAAACTAAAGCTTGACTTAAATGTGCAAGAAAAATGACTCRTTCCCCTTCTCAACCATGGCCTTTCCCTTTGACCCGTATTTACATAATAAAGTTATTAAATGACTGTAAATGAGACAACGTCACTACTTCTTGTACTATTTATCCCTGAACCTTGTCTAATTGTGAAAAAAAAGGGAGTATTCCAAAACTGGCACGCAGATCAAACAGCCACAACATCACAGAGAAAAGCTACCATCAAGGCAACAATCGTTCCCTGGAGGCCCACGATTCTTTCTGCACTACACCTGATTCTGTTCTTAAACACAGAATGCTTGACTGACCTGTCTGCAGCTGAAACTGAAACATCATGAAAAAAGTCCTGATGCATCTCRGTAATCCAGGTAAAAAATCTAAAAGAAAAAAAATTGTATAGGTCTCCTGGACGGGTTCTTCTCTAATGAAACGTTTCGTCTCTCCTCCAAGAGACTATGTTGTATATGCTGTTAAGTGCCAGGAGGACTGCGACCAGTTATACATCGGGGAAACAAAGCAACCACTGTTCAAAAGAATGTCCCAACACAGACGAGCTACATCTAATGGCCAGAACTCTGCAGTTTTCACTCATTTACAGGCCAGCGGTCACTCTTTCAGAGATGAGGATGTTCTCATTCTTGATAGAGAGGAACGTTGGTTTGAGAGAGGAGTAAAAGAAGCCATTTTTGTGAAGAAAGACCGTCCATCATTAAACAGAGGTGGAGGCCTCCGTTTTCAGTTGTCCCCSTCCTACAGTGCGGCTATTGCCAGTATCACTCCACCCCCTGTTAACAATAGGTGTTAATTAGGTGTCAACGATAGCCATGTGATGTGAGTATCAGTCACATGGAGGCAGKGCTTAAAAGCCTGAATTTTGCCTGAAACTCTCAGACTGAAGAAGTCTCTTGGAGGAGAGACGAAACGTTTCATTAGAGAAGAACCCGTCCAGAAGACCTATACAATTTTTTTTCTTTTTCATCATAAGCAGCAAAAAGTAAAAAAGTAAATCACATCATTTGTTTCAAACGACTGAAAAGTACATTTAAACAGGCGGGTACACGGAGGAAAGAAACCCTGTCAACTTCACACGTTATGTCGGAGACAAAAGGCATCCCATAACCAAGTCTGCCCCTGCACTCACTGAACAATAAAGATGCACTTAATGTCAGAATCACTTATAAATCCTTGGCTCTGCCTCGACGAAGTCTTCAACCATACGAGTCATCTAAAACTACGTTAACCAAGCAGAATCAAAACTGAAACAAAGGAGCTTCATCACCTGATTCGATGCTTGCTCCCAAAAGGCCACACGACTAACGGTTGTGTCTCAATCTCCTGACGGCAACACCTGTATTTCTTGGTCTTTGCACAAGAACAACACATTTTCTAGCCACTCACTCTAACTGTATCACACTGTTGTTAAAATGCTTGACATGCAGACACGAGTGGATAATGAAGGCCAGTCAAATTCTTATTAAAAGCATCACTTTATGGACTAAATGCCATTCATCTATTCATTCCAACTGATTCTGGGTGCACATGTTTGTGTTTCAAATGTGCGCACACGGTTCTCAGAATGTGCACTTAAAGCCTCCTCAAGGCGTTAGATAAAAGCCTTCAGTGAAATGCATATGAGAGTGTGTCAGGAAGTGGGTGGGAAGGCAAGTGTGTATTAGGACAGGATGTGTACCATTATCGGTCATTACTGTACGCGCGAATCACCACCACYATCGACAGCAGCAACACAATGATCCTCCCATGCCCGATATAATGCACGAGGGGGATTCAGAGGGTGTATCTGAAACACACATATATGATCAATTACCAGAGCAAATCACCGGAAAATCGAGCTAATATGTTTCAACAAGGGAGCTCATTCATCACTGCAAGAGTTGCAAATTGCAATTATTTCTTTAAAATAGGTTTAGAGACATAAAAACACTAAAGATTGTTGGAAGTGCGACAATTATTTTACATAACTTAAAGAAACACATTTATCTGAGCCTGTTTTATTAGGATCATTTATAGATAAATCTATATTTTGTTTTAATTTTATTGAGTCTAAAACCCCCACAAAGACTAACAGATACATTTTTTTGTTCTTTTCCCACAAGATGTTTATCCTTTACTTAAAAGAGTATAATAGCTAAACTCCTCAGGCTGCAAATGGCACCGTGACTYCGTATTGATGTCTGGATGTTATGAGCTATAATATCAATACTGCTGCTGGCCGTGAGTGTGTGATCGGCTCGGAGCTATTTTAAGGGCTCAGGCTTGGACGGCCGACAGGGGAAATATATGGCGGCACAGTCGGCTGGTTTACAAAAGGAGGCGCGGAGCTCTGCAGCTTCACTGGTTTTGGGCACAGAGAGAGAAAAAACAAGTTTACAGCTGTGGTGTGCGTATATGGGTGGATGAAACATCTGGAGTGCAATAAAACTATAAACCCCAGCTGCTTCACAGTGCCTTTTTGTGTCATAAAGTTGATGCTCATTCTGGGCTAAATTGTATGAAACATTCAGGAGGTGAAGTTGTACAGTGCTGGGCTCTTTGTGGCGCGCGCTGCATCCTTTCCAAACATCTCCATCATAACAAATAATCCATGCACCGAGCAGGATGCCTTCCTGTCGTTCTGCAAGACTACAAGAGCAAACTGCACATCAGACACAGCACCAGAACCGAATCCCTGCATGGATGCAAAGTCCAACTTGCCGTTTACTCCTGCAGGACCTGGATAAATCAAACCGCAGAGCCGGGCTGCAGCTCTGCCTCTGAGAGAGAAAAGCACCCTCACCGGAGCAGTTCCAGCCGGTCGGCGTCTGGCAGTCGCTGAGGGAGGACGGGAAGGCGCGCAGCTGCTCCACAGGTAAAGTGGCGAGGAACGAGACCAGCGTGATCCTGAGCCAGCCTCCCGCCGTCCCGCCCCAGCGGCGCAGCGCTCGGCGCTCCTCGAGCGGCGCCCGCGCCGCCACGGACCGACGCATCTCCTCCGCTCAGTGGCCGCGACGTGGGCAAGAGGCGCGCGCAGACGGCTCCAGCGATCCCGGCGGGCTCAGCGGGGCGCCTGGACGCCGACGGCGGAACATTTTCCGAGCGAGACCGTGCGCCCCATGGAGCAGCGCGCCCCGGGTGGAAGTGGCCAAAACTGTGTTCCGGACCGATCCAAAGGGGACGCGGCTGCGGGAAAACTGGCGAAGAGACGGAGCGATGGAGTCGGGGGTGTGGGGATGGAGTCGGGTGAAATAATAATAATAAAAAAAAAAGTTAAGAGTAGGAGAGGATGCTGAACTGTGAAGAGAGGAGAAAAGATGGGGAAATGGTGATAAAAAAGGATGGAATAAAAACGGTCAAAGTGACAGGATGGAGCCAGWATCCCACAGGCAGGCTCTGAGGCGGTTCTGTAATAATATCCTCGGGTGAGACGAGCAGCGGTCCTCCCGTTCACTCTGGACGTGTGGTGCGTTCAGAGCCGCAGCCACTCCGTGTTTCTGTCTCCCTCTCTCTCACCAGCAGCTGGTTATGATCACGTGGGGGTGTGATGCGCGAAGGGAGGGGGTGGATGGGGGGGCAGCGCCCCTCGGTGACAATTAAAATATCTTACCGGTGGAGCAGGCGGATGGAGAACCACACTACAGGCAAAAGGAAATAAAAAGAAAATAAAAAGCGGTTGAGAGAAGCCATAAAAGATGCTCTGCGCGCTCCGGGCTCGGTCCCACCGGTTGGTGACGGTTACCCTCACAGAGGCAACACAAGGGACGAAACGCGCCCTTTTAAAGACTAATTGGCCAGCAGCGTTTAAACAAAACCTGCAAGAGCTAATTGTCCAACCTTTTAAAAAGCACGGATGCAGCTCTGAGAGGTGCATGGAGTTTTTTTTTCCTTTCTTTCTTTGGTTGGCAAGTTTCTGCATGTGGCCGAGTTTATTGTTGCATGGAAATTTTATTTCTAGAAATAAATGTATGCATTCAGATTATTTGTCTATAAATGACAAAAAATACAGGAAACACTTCATATAATTCACATTCAAAGTTATAAACAGCCAGCCTAATAATCCTGGGACTCAGCTCCCATGTGGTTTTCTGTAAATCCAGCCAATTTCTTTTGTTTTGTGGACTACAATGACTAAATCAATTTTTGTGATAGCAGCAACATCAAAAATGGGAAGCTAAAGAAATAGCAGAGCTAAAAGAAATGATTGAATGCAATAATCATCTAATTGCATCTGCCTTCCTCTCCTGGGGTGATGCCTGGGAGGTCTTACCATCGCTGACATTTCCAGGTCGGGGTTCAGGTAAAAAAGATTTTGGAAATTTAATTTTAAATCAGTGATAGAGACTAAAGTTCTGTGGATATTTCCTTGATTTCTAACACTGTACATCAGGAGAGAAACCGAACTAACCTACAAAGTGGCACCTAAAGTTGCACTTTTTTTCTCTTCTCCCCAGTATCTGCACTCCAAACCACCCCCTGAAGCCACCACTGGCTCCAGGATCTCCATACTGGAGAAATAAAAAGCTGTCCAATTATTATTTGAGAATGAAGCTGCTAATACACAGAGCAGGATGTGGCATGGGACTCTTCTGGCCCCAGAAAGTGTTTCAACATCTGCAGGAGTTGAGAGGTCAGCAGGTTGTGAGCACTCACCCTTTGAATCAAGGAAATTGGAAGCCATGTGCATGACAAAAAAAAAACCTTTGGAGAAAACAAAGAGCTTGTTGTTGAAGCCTGTCATGGTTTTAAAGGGACCTGAACTCATGATATCATGGAAGAAAATCTGCAGTTGCACGTAGACAAATCGCCTTTTAGTTGCTCGTTATTTAAACAGTTTTATTTCAACAAATAAAACTCATGACGCACATCTGCCCCAACAAACAGCAACCTATTGATACAAAGATGTTTGTGAATTGAATGGGGGATTTAAAAAAACCTGTCTCATAGCTGACACCAAAACACAAATATATGGGGTGCCCTTTGTAAAGTTACACGGTCAAAAATTACCACCAATATTTTTGTTTTATTTAAAGAAAATAAGAACAGATTTATTTTTCAAAGTCAGTTTTTCACCATATGATTCATACATTTATA